ATGTAAAGGATGATGAGTTTGAGATCAAAGAAGTATATTTTCTTTGGTTATGCGGATAGAGTTAAGGGCTATATAATGTGGTGTTTAGATCCTAAGTCATCTTAGTTTATTATCAGTTGTATTATTTAATTTGATGAGTTCGTCATATGAAAAAAAATTCACAAGGGTGCAGAAAAAGGAAATCCCAACAACAGTGATGCAATTGAGGTGGAGTTGACAACTCTAGAAAATACTCTAAAATATGTTTTAGAGAGTCCCTGTGAAAAAGTGGAAGAAGATGTTGATCATGAGGACATCATTGAACTTACTCCACATGAGGAAGAGCCCCAGCTTGCAAAGGGAAAGAAAATAAAAAAGCCAATGGTGCGGTACGGTTTTAAGGACATGATGGCGTATGCATTGGTTGTTACAAGCCAAGAGAGTAAGAATGATAGATTAATATGACTCAGCCATAAGGGTTTGTCATTAAAGGCAATGAAGACCATGTTTGAAAGCTGAAGAAGTTGTTATATGGCTTAAAGCAGTCCCCTAGGCAGTGGTACAAGCGCTTTGATGCATTTATGATTGGATACAGATATGTCAGAAGTAAATATGATAAGTGTGTCTATTTTAAGAAATTAACAAATGATTCAATCATCTATTTATTGCTCAATATGGATGACATGCTTATTGTTGCAAAAAATTCTTTAGAAATCAATAAATTTAAGACTCAGCTTGGATAAAATATTTAGGTTCAACGAAGAAAATTTTGGGTACATAGATTTAAAGTTGGGTAAAGTGTGGCTATCTCAAAAGGAGTATGTTGAGAAGGTCTTCATTAGATTTGGGATGAAAAATTCAATGCCCGTGTTTACTCCGCTTTTTGCACATTTCAGATTGTCAACAATATTATCTGCAAGTTCAGATGCTAAAAAGGAATACATGTCGCGTGTTCCCTATGCGAGTGCAGTTGGAAGAATTATGTATGCAACGATTTGCATTCATCCAAATATTTATCATGTCGTTAGCGTTGTTAGCAAGTATTTGGCTAATCCAGGAAATGAGCATTGACAAGCGGAAAAATGGATTATACATTATCTAAGAGACACATCAGATGTGGGTCTCGTGTTTGATAGAAATAACAAGATTGATGACAAGGTTATTGGTTGTGTTGATGCTAACTTTGTAGGTGATTTGGACTGTAGGAGATCTACTGCAAGTTATGTGTTTACACACTTGCAAGAACTCCGATAAGTTGGAGGTCGATGCTACATATTATGGTTGCCTTGTCTATGACTAAAACAGAATACATGGTAGTTACCGAGGCAGTGAAAGACACATTATGGCTTAGAGGGTTTGTAAATAATTGGGCTTCCAACAAGATGATACTATTATTTATTATGATGGCTAGAGAACAAAAACTTCATCCAAAAACCAAGTATATTATGCAACGATGAAACATATTGGTATTAGGTACCATTTTGGTTATGAAATAATACCTGAAGGTGATATATTATTACTGAAGATTGACATTAAGAAGAATGCTGCGGATATTTTGATAAAGTCGGTTCAATTACAGAAATTCAAGCTATATTTGGACTTGACTAATGTGTTACCAAGGTGAGCGTTGTGGGGACGCGTGTGGAGAAGACGGACGATGAGATCTTTTGGAATTCAAGCCAAGGTGGAGAGTTGCTCATAATTTTGTCTTGAATTCCTATTTTATGGGATTGGTATTTCTATTATTTTTAGGATTCCTATTAATTCGTAATTGTGATTAATTAAATTTAAGGGTAGAATTAGGTGAGTCCTATTTAGATTAAGATAGACTTTTGGGAATTCAAGATGAAGTTCCTCATCCATAAAACCTAGGAAAAGTTGTTGGAAGCCTCACAGTGGGTCATTGGGTCGCTCTTCTTAGAGAAAAAGTGAAAAGGAAAAGAAAGAAACTTTTGAGTTTTTGGAAAAAAAAAAAATTGTAGAAAGAGGGCATTGTGGGAGATTTTGTTTTTTATCTGAATCTCTCGTATGTGAGTCTCTTATAAATTTTTTCTTTCATTGGTTAGTATGTAGATGTAGTTGTATCTGTGACGAATTATATAAATTTTGGTGTTCTCTTTTTTGTTATGTTTTTTTGTTTTATTTTTTTTATTTATTGCATATTTTATTTTTCTTATAATTTACTTGCCAAAAACCTACTTGCCTAGTTTAGTGCTTTTGTGTACAACTAGTACGTGAACAAGCTAATAAACCCGTGACTCTCGAGTGTGGAGAACGAATTACTTGCATGACTTGAGATGCGCGTACCATAATTTCGTGTTGTATCTCTTTTTGCTCAAAAGTCAAAACATAGTTCCCTTCCACCCTGTAGGAGGCTCTAAATCATCAAATTAAAGCCCACCTCAAAAATTTCATTAAAAAAGGATTGTTTTGATATTCAAAATATCTTCAAATTGATCATCTCGGAATCAAGATATACAGACAATAGAAGAAAAAAAAAAAAGAATTTCAAGATTTGGAAATAGTGCATCTTGTAATGCATTTTTGGACCGTCAATTTTCAAGGTTCTTGAGTTTTCATAGATATGCTTAATCTACACTATTTTTTAAGCTTTAAATTGTATAATTAAAAATAAAAATATATTTTAAAGCTATCACAACGATTTTTGAAACCACATTTCTCGACACTATTTGAAGGTGGGCTCTAATTGAATTGTTGAGAACCTAACCGCACCCTTTATTTATACCAAAAACCTGGTCCTTTCAATATGATAACTATTTTTTCCTATGTATTTACATAGAGTTAAATATTTATTACTTGCCTTCGTCTAGGTTATCTTCTGCCACAAAATCTCCAAGATATGATCTTCTTCAATGGTCGGTCCCTATTACGACGATGGCCTTTCAAAGCCAATTGCTTGAGGGCCTACTCTATTAGTCAATATCTCTCTCTCTCTCTCTCTCTGTGTGTAAATTTTCAACGAAGTCTCACTCTAACCCACTTAAAAGACAAAAAAAATTCTCTCTCCAACAGGAGGCAACCTTTTCTCTCTCTTCGAGTGACAAGTCATGATACGTAAGGCTTTCTCTTCTCTAGGCCAAAAACCAATTCAGGTCAAAACTCACTCTCTCTCTAACGCACACACACGCACAAACACACAGAACCCCTCCCTCTTCACACCAAATTTAGCTTGGAAGTTCTCTCTCTCTAGGTGGGGAGCCAAGTCTCTCTCTCTCTAACACATGCTCTGTCTCGTATAGGGAAACCTCAACTTTGATGGTTAGCAGATGCAAGCATCGTACTGCATATTAAGAGGGTGGTAGGCTGCCCACCCGACACCTACATCACTCGTTTCATACTCCCCTTTCTCCTCTCTCCCTATTACCATTACCATTACCATGGGTGTGGTTTGTATAGTACTGAGGTTCTAAACGATCAAAATAAAACACACTTTCAAATAGTGTCAAGAAATGTGGTTTTCAATACTGCAAATTTTTTGATAGCCTTAAAATATATTTTTATTTTTAATTATAAATTGAAAGCTTAAAAAATAGTGTAGATTGAACAGATCCATGAAAACATAAAATCTTGAAAATTGACGGTCCAAAAATGGGTTACAAGATGCGCTATTTTCAAAACTTGAAATCTATTTCTTTTCTCTCATGTCCATACATACATCTTGATGTCGAGATGATCAATTTAAGTATATTTAAACATCAAAACAACCTCTTCGAAGGAAATTTTTGAGGTGGGCTCTATTATATGTTCGTCAAGTGTCCCATTTATTATTGTCTCTCTCTCTCAACTCCAGCACACACGTCAAAGAGTTCATAAAATCCGTCTCACTATTGTTATTTAACTCGTATACATACGCCAATGAATCCATTCGTGTTATTGTAATGATATACAAAATTCCTATAAAATAAGCGATGTGCCAATATTAAAGCTAAGAATCAGATGGGAGCCACCCACTAAAATAGCACTATCTCAATTAAACTACTTGATTACACAGGACAAAGCACACGTGATTGTACAATAATTTGCTGTAAAGAGCATGAGATTCCTCTTCGTACTGATTTTAATTAATTTTAAAGCAATTCTATGGTGTGGTGTGGAGTACTTTTTGAGTTTCAAATCATTTTGTTTAAATAAAATTGACGTTAAGGGTCACCAAAGTGAGGTCTGCCATTGTTCGATCACACGGGGCTTAACAGTGGGGCAATGAGTTATGACTACCGTCCGTTGATGAGATCCAATGGTGGATGGCGGCCTATTTGAGCAAATCAAAATAATACCAACTACTTCCTGAAGGATATAATTTCCAAGACCACCGGTTGACATAGGACAGGAGGAGGCGCCATTACTTTTCCTTTTCCTCTTGAGGGAGGCCATACTGGGGGAGAACCATTCTCAGGGAATCACTATCTTTTGCCTAGAATATATTAATTCATTTTGCTTGTGAAACTCATGAATGAAGCCCCTAAAGAATCACATGCCCAACATGACCAGACCAAGTCGTCCAATTGGAAGAAACCCAAACCCGAACGCCTCTTTTTGTTCAAGCTTCACATTTTTCACCTCCCAAAACTTAACCCCATTTTGAAGGGCACCAATCTGAAATTGCAACCCAAATCATAAAATTATGACATTCATACCCTTCTCCCCCTTACCCAAACCCACTCTCCCTCTCTCTGAAAAAAATTGAAAAAAGAGGAAAAAAATATCATACCCTTTACACCAAAACCCTCTCTTTAAAAGACAACCGTAACTTGACACAAAAGTCAAGGCTTTCAACACTGATCATCCACCTACTATTCAAAGTGAAAATGCCTCTGAAAAGACCACCACACATCCACAAAAGTCAAGTCTGTGGCGCAGAGGTCATATACTATTCAAAGGAGGCGGAAAAAGCACAGGGTCTTTTGCATGTTCAGTGATTGGTGCCAAAATGCAGTCCACATTCAAACCATGACAATAAAAGCTAGCCCAACCAAAATAGGCCCAGAAGAACATGCTCATTATCCAACCAATAAAATAAGGCATCAGATAAAAACAAGGACCTCAACTTCAAAATAAAGATAGAGAGAAGACCACAAGAGGCAAAAAAAAAAAAATGACAAGCATATGCCTCTGTCCTGCTTTCATGGGGTCCACTGAGAAAGGGAGAACTAACCACAGAAAGGAGACGATAAGCTTTTAATATTGGAGCATCCACGGTTACTTACATAAAAATAACAGAAACAGTAAGATATGGGTATGTATATATACCATATGGATCACGTAACAGTAGAGAAAAACCATCATCTATCTTAAGGAAGTGATGGGTCCTGTTTTCATGGTGAAACTGTAATAAGTAGTGGGCTTTTGTTTCCCCCTTTTTTTCGCTCAGACTGTGTAAGCTTGCTGGATGGTGTCGATGTCCAGGCCCTTCAACCTCACCACAGATTCCACGTGCCCTTTAAGAGTTGTGAATTCTCTCAGCCTGTGAAAATGAGAAATCAGCATTAAGACCCACTTTTTTTCATCATCAGTAAAGAGCATATGAAACTGAACTTTCTTTACAGTTCAAAGAAAAAGACCAAGCAGAAAGACAACTTGCTCTTGATTATATACCTATCATTTAAAATTTCTAACTCTTACAGTTCCTGGTAAATTATCAGAAAACCCCAACCTTGTCTTCATTAAGAAATTGTCAGACAGCATTTCATGAATTAATGACATGTGACATATAGTTGCCCCATGAAAGGCTACATGATCTATAGGGTTACGCTAGGACAATTGGTAGATGCATCCAAAACTACTTTCTAAGTATCCAGAACTTTTCAATCCTCTTGGCCTATAGGTGATCAAGGAAATAAATACTTAATCTAGGAGCTAAATCTGGACTACTCATGGCATTTTGGCCAAAGCCTAGCAAACTCATGAAATTTCTATAAACAATAGAATCATTTCCAAGGAGAAAGAAGAATCTTTGTCGTTTGCCAAAACAAGAAAAAGCATTATTTGGATAACTTCAAGCACATGACACTGCTATATTAAACTCAAGTACGCTATGGTGTCATCATGTCACAAAATATCAATATCTACTGCCAAAGTTTGCTTTAATATCATGAGGTCATTAAAAAGCAAGACTAACCTTGCAATCTCGGCTCGTCGTTTTGCCTCTTCGGCCATCTGATTAAGGTCTGTATAGCTCGTTCTCTCACTGAACATCTTGGTTTCTGGTGGGTGGAGACCATGCAAAGTCCTTTGAGCATGTGCCCACTTGAGTTCCCTTGCTTCTTTCCCGAAGTCCTTTTGCCTTGTGAAGGCAATCTGGATAACAAACACATAACAGCCAAAGATTAGCTTTTAGTAGCTGGAAACCTATAATAATATGCACTCAATTCACAACAACGCCCAAACACTCTAAATCATAATGACAAGTTCAGTCGGTAACCTATGATTTTGCCCACGCAACACAGTCCATGCATATCAAGGAAACAGAAAGGATAATCTATCAATTATAAGCAGCTGAAGATGAAATGCTCACCCTTTGCTCCATAACAAGATCCCAGGCCTTTCCACTGAGAGCATAGCGGGTTATGAATTTGATGATGTCAAGTGGGAAATAGGTGATGATGTTGTAAAGCCAAACCACCCCAGCCCAACCCCAACCAATGCCTTCAATAGCAGCAAACCCCCAGTTTGCATATACTGCAATCAAGGTAGCAATCTGCACGCATGCCAAGTGTTTATTATTCTCATTATTATTACTTCTCCTTATTATTATTACTAATACAACAATTGTTAACATCATCGCCGCTATTAGATCGTTGCAATTTAATTACAATCAAGCAGGCCAAACAAAAGGGATTAGAGAATATGGCTCACCAGCTGGGCGATGATGAATGCTGTGACAAGCAAGAGTCCAGGCCGTTCAACAAAGGACCAACTTCGAGACCTAGTCACGAAGATGAGAGCCTGGCTAATGGTGCTCACTTGTAGATACACTGCAGAGGCGAGCTTTTTGAAGTCATCCCGTGCGGTATCTTGGAGGCTTGAGACATGGAATATACGCTGCAGACAAGAAAAGATCATGAAAGGAAGTCTTAGCTTCAACCAACAAAAGAAAAAGAAAAGTTGACATAAAATTTCATAGAAGTTAGGAACTTGGGGAATTTTATAACCTATAACTACTCGTTACAAAAGGTTGTTCAAAACACCAAAATAAAATCATGAAGACAATAAACAACGCAATTACTTAACATAATGTTGGAAGATAAATTTATGAATAAGTTCTAGGAAGAGTAGGTTTGATTTCTTGCAAAAATACTGGACCAAATGGGCGAAACATGGATCAAATAATTCCTCGAAGAGGTATCAGGCAATGCCAAGAAGTCTTATCATAGTCCGTACCGGGAAGAAATCAGTCTTGTAAGCTGCCCAGAAGAAGATCACTGTCATCATAGCCAAGTAACTCCCAAGAATGATGCCTGTAGCAAATATTTCCGCCAGCTTCCAGCTGTCAGGGAGGGGGGATGGCTTAACCCTGTCCTTTGAAATTGTCATTATGGTACCTGCCCATGAAGAAGATGGCCATCATATAACAGCATTGTAGCAGTGAACATCAAAATATTTACGAGGGCATGATGACATTCCGATTAGAAATATTTATTTTTCTGAGGAAGGTTAACTTTACTCCAAGTAGAAATATGAGAGAGAAAGCACCAACCATCATTTAAGATTGCGATAATAAGAACCATGAAAGGTGGGAAGTCAAACTGCCATATGAGTGCAAGGAGCATGAAGCCAAGCTGTTTCAAGTTCAAGCAAAATTACGAATGTGAACTCCTCTCTCATATGAGAAGACTCATTACATCTTTTACATCAAAATGAAAAAATAAATATACAGCAAGCCTTGGGCCAAGCAATGAACACACCAATGCTGCAGAGTAGTACCAACAATTACAGATACAACAAGATAAACATTCTTGGAAAAAAAATGCTTACCACTATACGAATGGTTATAGAGACTGCATAGATCTGAAACAAGTAAATCCAACTAATAAGAACAACCCAAAAATCATAAAACATTACAAGTATCAATCCAAGCAATCAAAGAGCCAAGCCTAGAACTCACAGTATAGTTTTTCATCCTCTGGAAAATTGCCCGACTAGTGAGCACAGCACTAATGATAACACTCAAGCCAGGTTCTGTTAGAACAATATCAGAAGCACTCCGAGCTGCATCAGTTGCATCTGCAACAGCAATACCAATATCCGCTTTCTTAAGGGCAGGGGCATCATTTACACCATCACCCGTCATTCCACAAATGTGTTTCCTTGCCTGCAACCTTTTAACGATCTCATATTTGTGCTCTGTGACAAGTGACATGAAGGCCCTTAAAAGGAGGGAAAACAAAAGGCCATCAAGAAAGAAACCTCGCCTTCATCGATGAAAAAAAAGTTCAAGAAAAGAATACCAGGGAAAACACCAGCAAAACCATCAGCCTTCTCTATAAGCTCATCTACAGGCAAAGCAGCAATAGACTCATCCTTGTTCTGACCCAGCAGAGCAGATGAGGGATACATGTTTGTGCCCATTCCCAAACGGCGGCCAGTCTCCTTGCCTATTGCTAATTGATCCCCTGGGTAAAAGTTTGCAAGAATAATCAAGAGGATGCTTTGAATTAACTTTAAAATTTTTAATTATTATATGAAACAGTGGTAGCATGCATAAAAACCCCGTCATATTTTAGTTTCGGGTATTTCCATGTTTTAAAAAAAACATTATGCAATTGGGGCAATCAGTTCCATGACTATTTTTTGATTTTATAATAAATCCCAGAAAGGATGATAAAACAAATTAATGATGACCATTTAGGGTCTTCATTTACATGACATGTCATATATTAGTATTTTGAAGCATTGCTTTATTGCTTGGTGATATATGAACTAATGAAAAACTTCTCTTTCTTTCTTTTTCTGTTTTTCGTGTTTTTTTGGTTCAATGCATACAAAGTTATGCCGGGTAAAAGACTAATTTGTGTAGTTACATGCAATTGATAGGGGGTTGGTGAAAGATGGTTCTCAAGATAGTGTAGTACCTGTGATCATTTTAACACTGACACCAAGGTTAAGTGCCCTCCTGATTGTTTCAGCACTATCATGTCTAGGAGGGTCAAAGAGAGGCATGAGACCAATGAATTGCCATGGACCTCCTGCACTCTCTTTCCTGCCATCAGGAACCTCCTGCACAACAATCAAAGCAGAGACATTGGAATCACCTCCCAATACAAACTTAAGTCGATTTTTAATAAAGCAATCTCATGCCATGTTCAGTTTTCGTATGTTTAAATTGCAAAACAGATGCATTTAATTTCTAACACAAAATTGGTGCTCATGAGAAAGAATGGGTTGGAAACATTTGCCAATTTCTTATAGTTTTTGTTATAAAAATCCATATCATGAAAAGAGAAAATATAACTCACCTGGTATGCTACTGCAAGAGACCGAAGCCCACGTTCAGCAAACTTGTCAATCACCGCATGAACTCTACGCTCAATTTCAGATTTGTTGTGTGCCAGATTAAGAATCTGGGGAACATTCGCCCAATCATGATAAAAAAACATAAAACCAATATAACTCTTTTTTACTTATCCATGAGTAGTGGAGAGAGATAGAGAGAGAGAGAGAGAGAGGCAGAGAGGTTTATTTATGGTACCTGCTCAGGTGCACCTTTGCTCACACGGTGCATTTTACCATCGCCATCAATATAGGTTAAAGCTGTTCTTTTGTCCGTCGGGTTAAATGGAAGGAAATGAACCTCTTGGATTCCAGCCCGTGCCTTTTCAGTAAGAAAATTAGAAGAAAAAAGGTAAGACAGGACTAACAAATGGAAAGCAAAGATTAACAAATGGAATGTGCACTAATGAAAAATCAAATAATGTAGCTTCGCAAAATTCATCTTCAATTGAATAACAAAAAAGAGGAGAGTATATCTCTAATGAAATGATGCTCCATACCTCCTTTGGATCAGCAAGGGTTCCAACAATAGCAGCGTCAATAGCATCTTGGTTTTCAGTTCTGGAGGCTCTGGCAGCCATTAGAATTACCGTTTCTTTATCCACCCCCTTTGCAAAAACCTAATCAAAGAAAACAATTATTGTATTACTTTTCACAACAAAATAGAAAAGAACAAATAGATTGAACAAACAGATTTCTTTAAAAGGAAAACGTAAACAGGTTAGATATGAAGGTAGCAAATGACGCAGATAGATTCTTCTTCTGACCTCAACTAGATTCCTGTCAACAGTGAGCTTGTTCAGAGTTAATGTCCCAGTCTTGTCACTACACAGAACATCCATTCCAGCCATTTCCTCAATTGCAGTCATCCTCTTAGTGATAGCCCCCTGTATTACCACAAAGTTGATATACAAACCCAGCTAAATAAATTACCCCAGAGCACAAACTTCATTTTCTAATAATTAATATTCATTGATATAACTCTACGACCATTCCTTTCAATTAATAATAAATAATTCATTGAAATAATTCAAATCTTCATCTTCTTTCATCCAGACTGACCTGCTGAGCCAGACGGTGAGACCCAATGGCCATTGTCACAGAGAGAACAGTGGGCATGGCAATTGGTATGCCTCCAATGAGTAAGACCAAAAGATTGTCGATTCCTGGACGATATTCACGATGTTGAACGGGATACATAACAATTATTTCTATGATCATACCCACTGCAATTGAACATATACAGAAGTTCCCAATTGCTGTCAAAACCTGGCAAGGAACACACATTCAATAAAAAAGTAGAAGTAAGGAAACTACAGAGAAAAAAGGAAAGACATTTACACGCTTAAAAAAAAAAATTAAAGTATTAACAGAGATGAAAAGGATAGATAGAATTAATGAGAAAGAAAAAGAACAAAATGAAGAACAATTATAGAGAGAAGGCAATTGCAAAACAAAACTATTAATAAAAAAATTGGATACCATGAACCAAGTAAGAACTAGGTGTAATTTACATACTTTTTGGAAGTGACCAACTTGATTTGTAGAATCAACAAGATGGGCGGCCTTGCCAAAAAACGTGTGAACTCCAGTTGCAATCACAACTGCTTCAATCTCACCTTGCTTGCAGGTGGAACCCGAATAAACACCATCTCCGGGCCCTTTCGTTACAGGAAGGGACTCTCCAGTGAGAGCAGACTGTGGAACCCAACAAACTAATTAAAAATCTCAAGCAAATAGCAAATGTTATTCTGCAAGATACTCCTATGAGGATCAAATATATATATATATATATATATATATATATATATATATATATATGAGAGAGAGAGTATAGATAATAATAAATACTAACTACGTACTTACTTACTATGTATCTCCGTACGTAAGGCGGTACGGACGA